AAAAGTATTGTGGGTCCCAAACAGTGAATCTACTATGCCAACGGGATAACTCCCTGACCTCCAGAATTAGAATTGGTCATCCATGCTGCCGTTATCCCTCTTATAACTGATCAGAAAATATACAAACGAGTATAACAGCCTTTTCTTGATGACTATTAGCCCCTTAAATACGGAGTGTTTGGCTAGTTCATTACTTCTAGTTGTGCCTAATGGGATATCCGGCATGAATTAGGGACTCACAAATAAACAAACAAATGTTGCTATTCTGATATTTTGAAACCTTGGGCACAAAAAGACTCAAATTCATGAGAACACAGCAGGGCTGGGCTACATGAGAACTTTGGTCCCTGCCGTTGTGGTGCTCCTTTAAAAAGACTTCTAACGACTTCTTCTGAAAGGATGGAGTAAGATGTATTTTCCCCATTCCTACCACAGATCAACCAAAAATCTTGAATGTTACACGTAAAGAGATAAAGCTCAGAGGAAGGAAAGGTGGACTGGTGGAGGCTTCACACAAGAATCAGCACAATATTGAGTTCTCAGGATTTCTTTTTGCCTCATGTCTCAGACTGGATACCAGAGAAGCTAGCACACTGGGATACTGGTACTCTCAGATGAAACAGCCCCAAGAAAAGCTGCTGCTTTTCTAGCTAAATCTAGCTGGGGAAAGGGCAGCCTAGTGGTGCAGAAAACTTTTAGAATATAACCCTTGGACTATATCCAAAACCACAGGGAAAAACTGCAGTCCTACCTCTGTATCTATGAGCAAAGGCTATGCAGAGACCCTGGACTTCTGCCCTTGTCAGGCTACAAGGAGACGCCTCCAAACTTCTGCTGGGTTATATAAGAGAAGGCCAACTGGGAGCCAAGACTTTAATTCATGCTGGCCAATAACGAGTAGGCCCCCACCCCTGTTCCACAGTGTTGGTGGAGGCCGTGTAGGGAGCATTAAAGAGATACCTAGCCTTATGACCAACCTAGATAGCATATTAAAAAGCAGAGACATTACTTTGCCAACAACCGTCCATCTAGTCAAGGCTATGGTTTTTCCAGTGGTCACGTATGGATGTGAGAGTTGGACTGTGAAGAAAGCTGAGCGCAGAAGAATTGATGCTTTTGAACTGTGGTGTTGGAGAAGACTCTTGAGAGTCCCTTGGACTGCAAGGAGATCCAACCAGTCCATCCTGAAGGAGATAAGTCCTGGGTGTTCATTGGAAGGACTGATGCTGAAGCTGAAACTCCAGTACTTTGGCCACCTCATGTGAAGAGCTGACTCAGTGGAAAAGACCCTGATGCTGGGAGGGATTGGGGGCAGGAGGAGAAGGGGACGACAGAGGATGAGATGGCTGGATGGCATCACTGACTTGATGGACATGAGTTTGTGTGAACTCCAGGAGTTGGTGATGGACAGGGAGGCCAGGCGTGCTGCAGTTCATGGGGTCACAAAGAGTCGGACACGACTGAGCGAGTGATCTGAACCCCCTCCCAGCCCTGGTGGTATCAGTGGGCCTTACTGAGGAGCCTGAACTCTCCTGTTACCTAGTAAAAGGGGCCACTCACCAACTGGCTATCACAGGGGGCCAGGTAGAGAACCTGGACTTCTACCTTCACGTGGCAGTAACAAGGTGACATTCCCTCTATCTACTGGAGGAGTGTCAGAAGAGATATAAAAAGACATAAGCTTTCAACAGCATCTTTAGTCTTATAACATAACAACCCAAGGTCAATAAAAAATCACTCTGCATACCAAGAACCCAGAAGATGGCAAACTATATAAGAACAGATCATTAACAGACACCTAAAACAAGATGATATAGAATTGTCTGACAGAAATTTAAGTGGCCATCATAAAAATGCTTTAATAAATAATTGTAGACATGCTTGAAACAAATGAAAAAATAGTCTCAGCGAAGAAAGACTTTCAGCAAAGGGATAGAAAATAGAAAGAAAAATCAGATGGAAATTTTAAAGTTAAGAAATATAACAACTAAAACTCAGTGGATGGACTTGGCTCAGCACCATATGGGGATGATAGAGGAAAGAGTCAGTGAACTTGAGAACAGAATAAGAGAAAATACCCCATCTGAACAACAGAAAGTAGATTGGGGTGGGGATGGCGTAATAAGAGTCTCATGGACATGATGGATGGACTGCAACAAAAAATCTAATATTCATGTCACTGGAGTCCCAGAAGGAGATGAGAGAGTGGGTTAAAAAAGTATTCCAGGAATAATGGCTGAAAATTTTCCCAGACTTGGGAAAAAACCTAAACTGATAGATTTAAGTATTAAGAAATCTCTAAGCAGGATAAACCTAAAGGAATCCATACCAAGGCACATTAATAGTCGGAAGACAAAATATATTCTCGTAAGAGACTTGTGTCCAGAATATACAAAGAATGCTTTTATTTTGAAAATATCCAAATCTTTTGTTTTTTATGATTTGGTTATTTTACAAAAGAAGATAGAATAATGGGCAATAAGCACCTAAAAGGATGTTCAATATCATTTGTTATTTACAAAATGAAAACCACAATGAGATATTATCCCACACCCAACTATAATGACTTTCAGAAATGAAAATAAACACAAGATGTTCTTAGCATCACTGGATAATTATAATATTGGATACAACCTTATGTTGGATACAGCAAAAAATTAGAAACAGCCTACATTTCCACCCATTGGTAAAAGCTCTATATCCATACAATGGAATAGATTCAGTAATAAAAAGGAAAAATTACTGAATAAATAATTTTTGATAGTTTTGAATAAACTTCAAAAACATGCTTTTGTTTTGTACAAGAATCCAGATCAAGAGACCACACATTATATGATCCTATTTATTTGAAATATCCAGAAAAAGCAAATCTGTAGAGACAGTATAGATTAGTGACTAGCTGGGCTGGAAAGGGGTGAGTGAGGCGATGATGGGAATGAGAATTCTTTGGGGGTGAAGGAAAAAGTGCTAAAATTGTTTTGTGTTTATCATTGTACAACTTGGTAAATTTACTAAAATATTGAATTGTACACTTGAAATGGGTGAATTATATGTGAAAGAAACCTCATTATAGTTACTAATTATGTATAATACACATACATAGATACATATGTGCATGTATATATGTGTGTGTGCATATATTTAGTCTTCATACATGTATAAAAAGCTAGGTTGTATTTTGAACCAGAAGAGTGAAGAGAAAGGTGAATTTTATGTGATATCCCAAAGGTTGTGTTGTATTCTCTATTTCATTGCTATTTTTTATGAATTGTATGGAGAGGCCATCTAAAATACTGGGTGTGTCTGATGCCTTTATTTTTCTGGTGCCCCTACCTACTTCAAGGTGATTAAAAACTTAATTTACTTTTCAGATATAAGGCACTATGTTTAGTTGATGCTAACAGTAGGACTCATCTAAATCATAAATACTAACATATCACAACATTATTAATGGCTATACTCCAATATAAAATAAAAAGTTAAAAAAATCATAAATACTGATAAATGAATTCTAAGATATTTGGGTTAAGTAAGGGTAAAATGAAACCAATCATTGAGTTGCCAAACCAACTCAAATGTGTTTTACTTATGAGTTTCTTTCTAATTGTAAAAAATATTATTTATTCCTAAATTATGAAATAGAATGGTGAAATAAAAGATTTATTATGAGTATTTTATAACAGATAATATCCAATAGAAAAATTGAAGCTGCCTAAAAATTAAATAATTTAAGCACTATGACTGATGTGGACTTAATATCACACATAATGTTAAAGTTGATCAGAGAAGGTTTTAGTCAACAATTGAAAGCTGGTTTTTCATAAAGAGAAAGAAATGTTTTTTTTAAGTTTTATCTTGGAAAAAAATAAGAATGGGCAGAAAAACAGAGTTAAGTTAAAAAACATTCATTCATGACCTTTAAGAAAAAATGCAGTTGGCCAATTGCATGGGCCAGCAGTTTCTGTACCACTTTTCTTACCACAGTCCATAAGAACTATTAGGAAGTCTGACACAGAAACAGAACAAACAAAAAATAATTCTCAGGAGCAGTTACCTGAAACATACTCAGTATTGCTTTGAATAGAGAATGAAAGGTTTAGTGGAAAATTCTTTTTATTGGGCCATGGAAGTTTCAGAAAAGCCTAGAATCTCTATTTTGTTGTTGTTATTAAGAAGAACCAAAATTAACTGATCTTCTTTTTTTTTTTAACTGATCTTCTAATACACAACTATTTTCAATTCAAGGTAGGACAGAAGAGTTCTAACAAATATTTAAAATAATCTGCTGTTGCCCAACTACACCATTCTTATAGGAGAATGTTCATGGTGTCAATGTTTTGTGTTTAGAACATACACACACACAGAAAGAGAGAGACATGGCTGAGGGAACCCATGTGAGGGATCAGTGAGAGGGATCAGTGATGTATTAATCCAAAGTTGTGAACGGCACTGTGGTCAAGGGAGCAAGGGCAAAGAGGGGCCAAGAAAGGAAGTCAGGGATGAGTGCCTCAGTCCTAAATGTCAGCTCCAGAGCAAGAGGCGAAGGCAAAAACGAACAAATCCTTAGACTGCAAACTGCAAGGATCATGCACAGAAGAGATTCACGCAGAATGGACAGAAACAAATGTGTTGTAGCAAAAATTGCATTTGTGGCATGAGCACAATCTACTGGGTTTGGCATTGTGCAGCACCAGGCAATTAAAATTCTGTTCACTGGATCTGTGTGCGCAGGGGCTCCCTGCTTGGTCATTTAGGCTCAGAGACTGTTTATGGTTAGTAAACCTTAGTTTCTTTTCTCTGGACTTATTATTAGTCTGATTTGACTGTGCTGTAGATCAGTATTTTGCCTTGTTTGTACACAGCTTGCTTATCGAGACGGTAGCTGATATTTTTATGTGCATACCTAAGGGACTTCTAAACATATGGTTCTTACACCATGCCATCTATTTCTGTTTCAGCCTGGACAGTTTTAGACGGCACAGCCTTGCTACATGTAAGAAATGGCTGTAGGAAACAACACTCAACGAAGTTATTCCATCATCCCGTGTTTTATATTTGTTGAGGTAGGTGTATTTATTTACCTTTACAGAAAAATTGGAATAATTGTAGCAGTTTTTATGCTGAGAACTTGGATTATTTTATAGAATTATTTAATTGTATGGTTGATAATGAAATTTTTATAGCAGACACATTGGTAAAGAATAAGTTATGCAATGTGTTTCTTAAATAGGAAGCCATAGAACAAGAAGATTCATCTATGGGGTCCAAAATAATTGTGTCTTACTAGACTTCTTTTGTTTTCAGTGGTGATTTGAATATATTATTAATTATGAATGCAGCATTTTGATTAAATTGTTTCTTTAAAAAATCAATATCATATTTTAAGAATTCAATAAGCAAGGTTTATAGATGATGTTAATGACCTTTGGCCTTGGATCCAATATAAAGAAGAAAATTTCTTAGAGTTAACTATCTTCACTAGGCATATTTTTTTTTTTACTGGGATATTGAGAACTTATATAGTGTGCAATTTCTTTGGGTTTTAAATGATTTTGTTGAGATGCCCCAACTTTGTGCCAGCAAAGAATTTCTCCAGCGTCTTTTGGTTAAACTTCTTGGCATCCTTTCCCCACTGTACCTCCTTTTCCATAATGTTTGCTATAGAAGAGACAAAGACATGAAAATTTTAGGTAATTTGGAATAATATGATGAAAAAAAAGCTACTCCAGATTTTCACAAAATAAGGTATTGATTTGCCAGAGATGATATTATTGGGCATCTAACACATTGGTTTTTATCCAGAAAATTGTGTTTAAAATATGATGATGTGAAGAGCTGAAAAGTAAATGTCCTGAGTTTCCTTTCTGGTAACAGCTTGTATAGTCTCTCCATCCTAAGGATCGGCTGTAGTATGTTCTTACATAATCAGGCAGGGGACCTTTTTGGCTCTGAGTATGGGAGGAATATGCATGTTGATCCATTTTATCACCTGTATCACTTGAGTTAAACCATTACTGATGGTAGCAAAAATGTACTTTCAGTGCATGTATGGTTTAAGCATAGCCTATGAATCAATGAAATAAGTTTGGTTGGTTTTTTTTTTTTTATCTTCTAGATCTTGAAATAACTGTAGGTGTCAGTTGAATGATTTTGATAATATTATCTGGACCAAATAATAATGTTTGGCTGATCCTCAAGTTTCACCTTATAGATATTCCTTGGTAGTTTAGATGGACAAATATTACTTGATGATTTATTTTCTGGTGATATCTGTGAACCTATTTGTATTGCAAAACCAAGTGGAAATAAAATTAGATTGGGACAGAAGTGTTGATATAAGTTAATATACTCAGACTCAAGCTGTATCTTTGAAAGGGTAAACTAAGAGCTCATCTTTGAAAGGATAAACAAGGAACTCATCTTTAAACACAGCATATATTCTTAATACTCTTAACTTGCCATACAAGGTCAAGAATAACTCCTTTCAGACAATAACTCTATATTATATCTATTGTGGGTCTGGTTACTGTTGTTCATATTGAAATTGTGATGAATAAAAAGGAGTCCTTTCTCCCGCTGATCATGGGAAAAGGATAGAAGAGTTTGACACTATGTTTTTCAATGTTAAAACCCTGACTCTTTTGTCACAACAAAAATGAGATTTTAAAGTGAACTAGAGGAGATTTAGAATAAGTCATCTGTCATCATCCTTATCCTCCTGGTAGCAGTTTTATTTTAAATTTTCTTAAAACTTGAACAGGAACCAAACCTTAAAGTAAGCGACTGAATTAACTGGCTGGAAGCTCTGTGACTAAAGATTGTCAGGCTTCTAGTCTGTGAATGATGAGCTTGACAAGTAGAGCAAACCACAGAAGACATCGATTAATCTTTCTATGCCTCAACCTGACACAAACATAAAAAGCCTACAAATCTTGGAAAGATAGTTTATTCTTTATCTTGCTGTATTATTGTTCTTACTTTCCATAGAAGTTTAAGACGTATCAGTGACTTCTTTGAAACAAGGAGGAGAAAGAAAAAGAGGACATGAAGTATCAATAGAATAAAGTAGAAACTGAAAGAGAAAGAGGTGAAAAGTGGCTTTCATGATTCTCAGTTATTTCATTCATCAAATGCTTTTTGTTATAAACACCCCATGTTTGTTGCTGCACTATTTATAATAATCAAGGTATAGAAACAACCTAAGTGTCTGACAATAGATTAATGGATAATGCAATTGTGGTTTGTAGATATGTGTGTGTGTGGTGTATCTATATCTATCTATCTATCTATCTATCTATCTACCTATCTATATATATATTTCCCCCCAATGGAATACTATTCAGCCATCAAAAAGAATTAAGATACTGTCATTTGTGACAGGGCATTATGCTAAGTGAAACCAGTCAAAGACAAATACTTTATGATTGTTGAATCTAAATATGTGGAATATATATGTGGGATCTAAAAAGGAAAATAAAAGCTCATAAATACAGAGCAGATTTGTGGTTTCCAGATGTGGGGGCACAGTGAAGAGGACAGAAATGGGTGAAGGGAGTCAAAATGTTAAAAAAAATAAGTTTCTTCTGAGATTGGGCAACAAAATTTTGAGTAAGATCCAATGGGAACAAAAGAAATGAAATAAAAGAAAATACTTATTGTTTATCTACCTTATTCCAGGCATTATAACAGGGATATCAGAAAACTTGATCAGAAGTATAACTTGGTAAAAATGTCAACATGATCAATAAGTATCTTTCCATTGTTGTTTTTTTAATTATGAAGTAATTCAAACAGAGAAAATAATATAGCAGACATCACTGTACCTACCATCAAGACCAAATCTTAAAATTTGCTATGTATGCTTCAGGTATTTTTTTCATGGAATGTAAAATATTCCAGATATGCTGAAGTCCTATTGTTCTAGACACAGAAGTAACTACAGTTGACCCTAAACATTGTGGATTTAAACTGTACAATTCCACTTATATGCAGATGCTTTTCAATAATAAATACTACAGTACTAAGAGCCAATGGTTGATTGAATCTGTGGATGTGGAGGAACCTTGGATATGGAGGACTGACTACAAGTTATACATGGATTAACCCCTGCATTGCCCAAGGGTCAGTTGTTTGTATGTGAAGTTGGAGGCTTTATTCTCCTGCATAATTCTTATATGTATTTTCATATTTTCCCTACGTGTCCACATACTCATAAATTATATTTTAGGGAGAGTTTAGATAAATTATACCATATTGAACCTACTTTTTGTAACTTACCTTTTCATTCAACATTATGTTTCTGAGTTTATTCAGACTGGCAAGTCATCCTTTTAATTATTGCCTTTTATCCCATTATGTGAATATGTATCAGTACCTACTGAGGGATGGTTTGGTTGATTCTTTCTTATTTTCTTAATGCTTTATACCCTTACAGCTTTTTATTTTTTTGCAGAAATTATCCTTATTTCTATCTCTGTATGCAGGTGTGCAAGGGCTTTCCTTGGATTGACACCTAGCAGTGGAATGATGAGAGATGATTACATTTTCCTGTTTTGTTTCTTCATTATAGAAACAATATTGGTATTTTTCTGCCAATTTTCTGGAAAAAAAACTTTGCCAAACTTTATTATTACTTTTACTGGTGTCTGTATATTTTTTAGATTTCTTTCAGACAGTTATATCACCTGAAGGTATTGAACCCAGGCTCCCTGCATTGAGAGTATGGAGTCCTAGCCACTGGACCACCAGGGATGTCCCTGAATTCACTGATATTTAATCCTCTAGTATGTTGAATCTGCTGTCTCTAGCTCATAGTGGATTGTTTCTTTATAATTATTTTTAGCTCATTTTTGACAGAGCTAAAATTCTTCTTCTATATAATTCATGTGGGCCTTAGGTTTTAAGAGTATTTCTTTGGAAAGATTTTGTATGCATGTTTCTCTTGGGTTTATGTTTCTATATTCATTAGTCAAATTTTCATAATTCCACAGTATTATTAATCAAAGCTCATCTTCCATGTAGTCTCTCTAAGCCAGCAGGTGGATTTACATAGAACACTGTGTCTGAAGTGTCAAAAGCAAGCTTTCAGGAATTCTGGCTTTTACACAGGAGTCTCAGCTCCAACTCAGGTCCTTAGAATGTCTTATCCTCATGGGCATTAAAACTCAAACCTTGTTGCTAAGACTGCCATGTACCCCTTTCTCTATTCCCGTTTAGGTTCACTGTGTCATCAGCTTACTCAGTTACCACTCCTGCTTTCAATACCCTTTCGCATTCAGCTCATCTATGAATTAAAAAGAAAGAAAAAGGCTGACCATTGTTTGTAGGTGTTTGTAGTAGAATCTTTGTGTGATTTTTTTTGTTCCATGAATGCATTCACTCATTCAACACTCATATTTTCAGTACTTATTTTTCTCCCCCAAGTCATTATGTGTTTTGCCCTATTTTGCATACTTGACATACTAACTGGGTTTCTGTAACTTGTATATCATCAAGGTTTTTTGCAGGTCCGTGGTTACTGGGCCATGTTTAACATGTGTAGGGGATGGAGGGTGGGGATGAGACACACACAAAGCTCTCAGGTGTATTTTCTTGGTGATTTTAACTCTATGAGCATAAAATTTTATTTGTGGTAGTTGGTGAGAAGAATAGATACCAACCAGCCTCTAAAATTCAAACTTGCTGATATAGTAGGAGCTTGCTTGAGACCCACCCAGAAGGCTGAAACAGTGGTAGAGAGGCTGACAAGGCAGCATGCAGCAGGAAATATCTCACGGTGGTAACATGTCAGGAGAGCATTGCTTTAGGTAATCCTTGAATGTCACAAACCAAAATGAAGGTTAAGATATCATTAGAGAGAGAGCAAAGTTTGTCGATTAGGAGAGTATCTAGAGAAAGTAATGGGCTGAAAGGAGGGAATTAACAGTGGGAGGACAGCAGAATAGATTGAGAAGTGATATGCAGTGGGCAATGCAGGTAGTTCCAGAAACCAAGCCCTTGAATGTTAGAAATTCAGAAAAATGTCTTAAGTACATCTTCCAGCTAATCCTTAAAATGTACCTTT